CTCCTATATCTTACTGCTTTTCTTCATTGACCCCTTTTCTCTCCCCTCACCCCTCCCCTTTTATTCCTGCTTTCGGCCCCTGGGCTCTCTTCTATCATCTGTCCTCTTTATCGAGGTTGATGTGGTAAGTCCTGCTGGATGGATGTTGTCAGGGGATTAAACGTGCCTGGAAGGGCTTTGTTTTTTTGCAACTAAGTTTACAGTTACGTTTGCACATGCTAAAATACGTATTGATTGGTAAGGGTCATGACCTCCTATCAAGCTACTTGTACGTGGTAGCTGAGAGTTTTAACAATACTTTGCATCTGTATCACTCTATCCTGTTTTACAGGTTATATTATTGATGGGTTGGGGTTGGGAGGGGGAGTCTCAGAACCCCATTGTTTCCAACCTCTCCTCTGCATAGGGAGGCTTTGCCCTATGTGTTTGTGGGTGCTTGAGAATAGCTCTATCGCTTTGGTGACCTAGATTCTGTTCTTAGGGGCCCCCTTCGAACCCCTAGTTTTATATTCTCTTCTTCATATCTATCCTCGATTGTTTTCTTCTTGCTTCTCTACTTTAGTGCTTTCACATCTACCCCTCTCTCCTTCTTCACCTCACCCCACTTTTTTTTTCTCCCCCCTTTCTTCGCTCATGTCTCCCAGGCATCTCCCTGGGACACCCAGTGGGTTGGAGCTTACCCGCCTGCTATTCATCAACATTAAGGGGCTGAATACACCAGAGAAGCGCTCAGTGGTGCTCTCCAATTTACGACACCTAAAAGCTCATATCTGTTTTTTGTGCAGAAAAAAAACAACAAAACTTAGGGATCGCCTCTTTCCAACGGTGTATCACGGATGTTCTCCAGACTCTAAATCTAAAGGAGCAAGTATTTTGCTTAACAGGGTTCTGTGGGACTTTAGGGATCAGTGGTGTGATGCAGAGGGGCGAGCGCTATTTGTGAAGGGCTTGCTTGGTAATTCGATGTTCACTTTATTGAATTTATATCTTCCCATTTTGAACCAGATTACATTTCTAAAACTGGATGCCCGGTTGAAGAAAGAAAGAGCTCAACAAATTATTGACCTTCTGACAAAGATCCAGACATTGGAAATAGCCCATAAAAAAATCTCTTGCACACAAGGTCCAATCAGAGCTCACGGTCTTGAGGGAGCAACTGAGTTCTCCGGTCATGGATAAAGCGAAGGCGATGCTTTCTAAATGTTGCTGCTCATTTTATGAACACGGAAACAAATGTGGCAAGCTCTTGGCACGCGCTCTGAGGGCTCAAAAGGCATGCACATTTTGTTCTAGAGCTCATAGATGATCACAACGGAAGGTCCACACAACAGAGAACATGGCTAGTGTCTTCCAATGCTACTACAAATCACTTCATATCCTTTCTATGGGAGCGACTACTGAGAACCCTGAGAAGAGTGAGACTATCCAACAATATCTGAAAGAGTCGGGCCTTCCAAGCATCCTGAAAGAGGTCGTGGCTTCCATGGAAACTCCTCTGTCAGCGATTGCCATGTCTCATATGAAAACTGGGAAGGCTCCGGGCCCGGACAGATGCTCCTTTCTTTATTATAAAATGTTCAGTCCTCTTCTTTCGTCACATTTTCTGGTGGCCTTCAATACAGTGGTTATAGGGGCAGTCTTTCTGAGAGACACACTCCGGGCACACATTTCGGTGATACCAAAGGAGGGCAAGGATCTACTTTATTGTCAAAACTACTGGCCTATTTCCCTCCTGAATGTAATTTGATCACCAAAATTCTAGCTCTATGACTGATGGACTCAATCCCAGGTTTGGTACATGTTGACCAAGTGGGCTTTGTCCATACGAGGGAGGCAAGGGATAACACAACTAAGGCCATAAACGTAATCCATGCGGCCAAAACCTGTAAAATATCTATGTTACTTCTATCTACTGATACAGAAAATGCATTTGAACGGGTTAACTGGATCTTTCTGAAGGAGACATTGAGACACATTGGTCTTGGACAGCGAATGATGCAGTGGATGCAAGCCATCTACTCCCACCGCTCAGGTGAAGGTGAATGGTCACCTATCTTCTTCTTTTGCGATCACCAATGGGACTTGCCATGTCAGCGGCAGTTAGTCAGTTCCCCCCAGTGTCAGAATGCCCAACACAGTCCCGCTAGAAGTTATTGATCACCGCCATTACTAGTATAAAAAAAATTAAAATTCCAGTATATATACACCGCCATTTGTAGGCTATAACTTACACGTAAATCAATATACACTTGTTGAGATTATTATTATCTTCAAAATTTTTTTTTTTGTTTATAGCGTAAAAAAACAAACCGCACAGGTTATCAAATACCACTGAAAGAAAGCTCTATTTGTGCGGGAAAAAAAATCACAGAAATTTCATTTTTGTACAGCGTTGCACGACCATGAAATTGTCAGATAAAGTAACGCAGTGCCATATCGCAAAAAATGGCCTGGTCAGGAAGGGGGGTAAATCCTCTGGCGAGCAAGTGGTTAAAGTGTATCTAAAGCCTTTTTTTTTTTTTAATACAGTGGTGAGGAGTTTAAATAAGTCATGTTGATGACCACTATCAAGGGCTGAAAGTAAGAGGGAATCCAAAATTTTGTTTTGTCAACTGAGCAGGATTAGAAGGGAAGCTTCCAATGAGGATACCTGTTTCAGTGACAACTATCTAAGAGTGGATTTGCCTAACTTTGGAAAGATTTTCTCTCATTTCCTGTTGTGTCTATATAACGGGAAGTAAAATGAAATCCTCCCAGTGGGACAGGGGTCTGTGTAGGAGTTTAAATTCTTTTTCAATCTATGCAAAATGAACAAAATGTTGGCTTTACATACACTTTAGGTGAGGGTAAGATCAGGACCAAATCTCGGGACAAAGTATAGATTAATGAAAAAAATGAATTGGTAAACAAGTCTAAAAATGGCAAATGCTTTAACCTACCTACACATTTTATTGCTGTCTATGTCTCATTAGGGAAAATTACTTTTACTTGCTTTCCCATAGGGACAACAGGAATTAAATTAAAATCTGTACAAATATAAGAAATGCCCTCTTGGGCAGTTGAAAATAGAAAGGTATCCCTGTTAGAAGATTTCCCCATTATTACTATAACAACTAAAAATTCTGGATTTTCTCTTACTTTTTGCCCTGCTAAAATTGGTTACTAGGACATGGAGAATGTGCTAGGGACACTGAAAGCAATAAAAATATGACAGAAGTTCTATCCCTTCCATACTCCATCCAAAATTAGACCCAAAGACATGTGAGACACTATATGGTTGATTTATTAAAGGCAAATAGTCTGTGATCTGCAAGTGCACTCCAAGAAGGGAAGCTCTGCTGATTTCTATCATCCAATCATGTGCAAGCAAAAAAAAAATGTTTTTTTTATTATTTTCCTTGCATGTGATTGAATATTCTTTGCAATGTGAAGCTTTACCTCATTAACTAACCTCTGGAGCAAGTGCACTTGCAGTGCACAGTATATTTGCATTGACATGAAGCATCAGGCACCAAGCATACACTGAGAGGGACGTGAAGTATCAGGCACCGAGTATAAACTGAGAAGGATATGAACATCAGACACCAAGCATAAACTGAGAAGGATGTGAAGCATCAGGCACTAAGTATAAACTGAGAGTGACGTGAAGCATCAGGCACTGAGCATAAACTGAGAGGGATATGAAGCATCAGGCACTGAGCATAAACTGAAAGGGATGTGAAGTATCAGGCACTGAGCATAAACTGAAAGGGACATGAAGCATCAGGCTGAACATAAACTAAACTGAGAGGGATGTGGGCATAAACTGAGGGATGTGAAGCATCAAGCACTGGACATAAACTAAACTGAGAGGGACATGAAGCATCAGGCACTGAGCATAAACTGAGAGGGATGTGAAGCATCAGGCACTGAGCATTAACTGAAAGGGACGTGAAGCATCAGGCACTGAGCATTAACTGAAAGGGACGTGAAGCATCAAGCACTGGACATAAACTAAACTGAGAGGGACATGAAGCATCAGGCACTGAGCATAAACTGAGAGGGATGTAAAGCATCAGGCACTGAGCATTAACTGAAAGGGACGTGAAGCATCAAGCACTGGACATAAACTAAACTGAGAGGGACATGAAGCATCAGGCACCGAGCATAAGCGGAGAGGGACGTGAAGCATCAGGCACCGAACATAAACTGAGAGGGACATGAAGCATCAGGCACCGAACATAAACTGAGAGGGACATGAAGCATCAGGCATTTCTTCCGGCTTATGATGTTGCTTCCACTTATACTTCACTTCCTATGTTTGCAAAAATCTGTAAAAGTGCAATGTACAGATCTGTATGGATACTCGACCTCCAGACCTAACTATGCCAGGGTCCATGAGGGGAATTTTGAAAGGCTTAAAAATAAAAAGTTAAAGAAATCCGAGCAAATTTTTTATTTTCCCATGCATTTTCCTGCCCACCTGCATGCTAGCAGTCTTGTGAATGGGCTGTTCCTGACGTCATGATGCCTATAGCTCAGCTCTGGACATGAGGACAGCAGGAACAGTCCACTGCTAGACGTGGGGGAGCGCAGTTTTCCGGAGGATCGGAGGAATGGATAAGTATAGATTTACCCTGAGCCCCTACACAAAACGAGCGCTTAAATAAAATAAAGTTTTAACTGGAGTTCTGCTTTAAATCTGGTGACAGTTTCTTTTTAATTTGTTATGCCAAGCAGTTATGCCAAGTATCAGTTTATTTAACTGGAAAGGCTTTTCATAGGACACAAAATGCCTTTTGTATAAAAGCTGGCAGAGAGGAAATTAATCAGCCTTATTATTTCTGGCGCATGCTACAAAAGCATAATTTCCCATTATTATTGATACTATATTAAGCATTAACATTACGCAAGTAATAATTTTATAAGCAAAGAAAAGAAAATGATAGAAAAACAAAACAAAACAAACAGTGCATTACAAAAATATGTATTAGAAGTACAGAAGAAACACAATGCAGTACCTGGGATTGACAAATCGTACAGAGGTATATCCCACAATGTTTCGCACAATTGTGACATCCATTGTTGGTTTTCTTGCACCGGGGTATCAGATTTCCGGGAACAGCTTTCCATTTTGTGGTTCCACAAAATGCTGCAAATGATCAAAAAACAATATGGTATTTGTGCGGGCATTATTTTTAAAGCGTTACTAAACCAACAACAGTAAAATCAGTCTGTAGTCAGTCTATCAGTCAGTAAAGCATGCTTGTTTTAGTCACTGTGGAATCTAAGGGGTTAATCCTCCGCATTGTGTAAAAAGGCTGTTTAATCCTTTTTTCTCTGCTCTTCCTCTTGTTGAAATGACCACTTGATATAGACTGAACCTATGGTCACATGCACATGCTCAGTTTGGTATGTATTGCTAGAGTTTTTTTTCTTGGGAGAGTGCATGTGATCAGCACAGGGCCAATCAGCACTGTCCAGACAGAGGGTCAGGGGTCCTGCATCCTCCTAGAGCAGAAGGAAAACTCATCCTACAAGCTTTAACCAGTGCTCTGCTGAAGTCACAAGACTGCTCTAATTGCTGATGAGGAAAGGTATTTGGCAGTTTATATTTACTAAAATAACTGCATTTCCATGTTCTGTGTACTGTGGGAGACCAGATATAGTGAATGCAGGGTCCTGGGTTTAGTAACACTTTAAATCAATTCACAGAAGGTGTTTCTATATAAAATGTGGAGAGCAGAAAGAACAATATGGAACAAAGCTAGAAACAGCCCACTATGCTGGATGAAGGTCTGGAAGTTCTCCCAAAATGTTCTTCAGCTTATGACTCTGGTGCCCAACCTGTAGCCCTCTGGCACTTATCGTGTGCTTTCTTTAACTTGCCAGTGAAAGAAAAAAGATCTAACGGAGATTGTATAATCAGATTGTAATGTGTGTGGTGAGCTTTAGGCTGATGATACATGGGTGATTCTGCCGCTAGAGATGAATCACCAATGGCAGCATCAGCGAAAAGGCTGTCTATGTGTACCAATGGAATTGTTCCCTCTGTAGTCGCAGCCAGTGAGATGTCACTCTGTTGCGGGCACAAATATTGCTGAATCTCGATTGCTAGAGTTGAGAATAACATTCTGTGTGTGTGTGGGATACAGATGGAGCAATTTCATACAGAGAAACAGGCAATTTCTTAGCAAGCCTACCACTACCAATTTTGACAAATTATTAGCAGCAGGATTACAAATTGTTAGCGGCAGGATTACTAGCGGCAGAGCCGCTTGCGTATTATCATCCTTAAGGTAACCATACACGCTTTGATAAATAATCTATCTCTTTTCTGATCTATCTCTCCAAACAGGAATAACTGATCTACAGTATAAACCACAATCTATATAAACAAATCAATAGGTTCAGTTGTATAATACAGTCACTACATCCCTAAACATCATGAAAGAGAAAAAGAAGTAAAAAGACAATTAGGATTTTACCGGTGCTGATACCTTTTTTTTTTTTTTAATCTTTTTTTCGAGGAAAAGGTATCAGCCCCGGTAAAATCCTAATTGTCTTTTTACTTCTTTTTCTCTTTCAATATAGTCCACAATCTATTTGATTGATATGACACACAAGGGAAATGGGGTTCAAAAGCTGGAAGATGTAATCTTAGGTTACTGGTCACATCTCTGGTTTTACCATGTAATCTCATATTCTGATCAATCATCATCTCTTGGCACTAATCGCTAATGCCCAGGGGTGGACTGACAACTCATGGGGCCCCTGGGCAATAGGGGATCATGGGGCCCTTGTGTCCTTGCCCAAACTCAAAAAAGCCTATGAAAAAGGTACCAGGTGCATCTCATGGGGCCCCCTACTGACCCCGGCCCTCGGGCAGTGCCCGAGTTTCCAAATGGTCAGTCCCCCTGCTAATGCCAACACTTCCCAGAGATTTAATCAGTAAAGTCATTGGCGATTTGTTTAAACTAATACTACAACACTGCATTGTGCTCTGCCATAAATCACTCTCCTTTTGGAGTTACGCCACAGAGGGGAATGCAGAGTGATTGTCCCTGGCAGTTTTGCCACCGTCACAAAGTGGTGCTGAATCTCAATCACTGAGAGACAAATTCCATTCCAATTCTTAGCAAGAGCCCATTCACACTTGTGCGACTTGTCACGCGACTTTGGGGTCCAAAGTCGCATGACAAGTCACACCCCGTGTTGACAAGTCGCATGACAAGTCACACCTGAATATTATATATGCAACTTGTGTGCGACTTTGTACAGCACAATCATCCTTGGTCAAAGCCAAAGTCGCATCAAAGTCGCATCAAGTTGCACCGTAAAGTGGCAATGAAAATCGCACAATTTTGAAGTCGCAGTGTGAATGGAGCCTAAGGCTGCCCATACATTATACAATTTCCCTTTAGATTTACCAAAAACATATATTATGAGGTCAAACCTAAACACTTTTTGTTTGTATGCAATCAGGCATGCCCTTACACTGCATCAATAACCAGTTCCCCGCCACCCTATAGCAGAACTACTGCTACAGGGCAGCAGGGGTGCACAAAATCATATATATATATATATATATATATATATATATATATATATATATATATATATACATACACGTGATTTTGCATTTCCTGGTAGGGGGCACGCGATGCCCTACCTGCGCCGCCATTGGCAGCTACAGATGTCAATCATCAGGTCCCAGCCAGAGATTCCCTGTCGGCATAGGGAAATCACCGAGGAACAGTGAAAGGGGAGAGTCTGTATGTAAACAACAAAACAACACAGATCTCCCTCCTGTCAGCACTGAAGTGCTGCTTTGTATTTCTCTGCACAGTAGAAAGATACAAAACAGCATGTCTCCCTAGTAAAACAGCACACAGTCAACCCTTTGATTGCCCCAGATGTTAACCCCTTCCTGCCCAGTGTCATTAGTACAGTGTCAGTGCTTTTTATTAGCACTGATTACTGTATTAGTGTCACTGGGGATGTCAGTGGAAGTTAGTCAGTGCCCCCCCAGTGTCAGAATGACCGCTGCAGTCCCGCTATAAGTCGCTAAAGCGCTCAGCAAACTGTTGGTGCTATATAAATCCTGTATAATAATAATAGTCGCCAGTACTAGTATAAAAAAAAAAAATCCCCATTATCTATACTGCCATTTGTAAATGCTATAACTTTCACATAAACCAATTAATTTACACGTATTGGGATTTTTTTTTATAGCAAAGACATGTAGCAGAATACATTTTGGCCAAAATTTATGACAAAATCTAAGTTTTTAAAACTTTTTTTACTGGATATATTTTATAGCAAAAAGTAAAAAATATTTTTTTTTTTCAAAATTGTCGGTCTTTTTTTGTTTATAGCGTAAAAAATAAAAAAACACACTTCTGCCTGGCAGTACTAGGGTACCTGGTTCGAATCCCAACAACGGCACCACCTTCCTGGAGTGTGTATGTTCTCCCTGTGCCTGCGTGGGTTTCCTCCGGGTACTCCGATTTCCTCCCACACTCCAAAGACATGCTGGTAGGTGAACTGGCTCCTGTCTAAATTGGCCCTAGCATGTGTATTTATGAATGTGAGTTAGGGACCTTAGATTGTACGCCCCTTGAGGGTAAGGGACTTGTGAATGTACAATATATATGTAAACCGCTGCATAAATTAACGGGGATAAGTATCTGAAATAAATAAACGCACAGGTGATCAAATACCACTGAAAGAAAGTTCTGTTTGTGAGGAAAAAAGGACATAAATTTCATTTGAGTGCAGTGTTGCATGACCGTGTAATTGTCAGTTAAAGTAATGCAGTGCTGTATTGCAAAATGGGCAGCACAGTGGCTAAATGGTTAGCACTTCCACATGGTAGCACTAGGATCATTGGTTCAAATCCCAACCACGGCACCACCTGCCTGGAGTTTGCATGTTCTCCCTGTCCCTGTGTGGGTTTCCTCCGGGTACTCTGGTTTCCTCCCACTCTCCAAAGACACGCTGGTAGGCTCCTGTCTAAATTGGACCTAGTATGTATATGTATGAATGTGAGTTAGGGACCTTAGATTGTACACCCCTTGAGGGTTAGGGACTGATGTGAATGTACAATATATATAAAAAAGTGCTGCGTAAATTGATGGCGCTATATAAGTACCTGAAATAAAGTGGTTAAATGGTAAATCTAAAGGAAATTTAATTTTTAAAAAAATTGTATAATGTATGGTCAGAAGGAATCAAATAAACAAAAAAAAACAGGGAGGGAGATCACTCCAAAAAAAAGTCATCCTAGTCCATAGATGGTTTAAAAATATTCCAAAACAATTCCTGACAGTAGAAAATGTGAGGCTTGTTTTATGGAAATAAAGGACAATCTGCCGCGCAATGCAGCTTCTAGGCGATGATCAGATGAGGAAAGTGACGGATCCCTGCAGCCTTAGTCGTGTGCCCATCTGACACTTCCTAGGATTCTACCCCCAGTCACACGGGAGCAGACTGCAGCGATCGGTGCCGGCTCCCATCTGCCACTTCCTAGGAGGATTCTACCCCCCTCACACGGGAGCAGACAGCAGCGCAGCGATCGGTGTCGGTTCCCACCTGACACTTCCTAGGAGGATTCTACCCCCCTCACACGGGAGCAGACAGCAGCGCAGCGATCGGTGCCGGCTGTACTCACCAGAGGCGTCCACTGTATGTAGCAGAGACATGGAATCCAAGCCTTCCCTACATGCTGGATCCTGCTACAAATGAGGAATTTCTCTCTATCTGTACACACAGGGGCTCCCGGAGACAGCCCACCACTACAGCCATTGGTAGATCCGCAGCTCTTCTCTGCCTGCTGCGATGGAGAGACACATCCAATAGGGGCTGGCTCTCCCCTCCCTAGAAACAATAGTACATCCCCTCCCTGTCTGTCATCCTAGAGGAAGGATTGCAACATTACGTGGGGGGGGGGGGGGGGGCTCAGCACTCACTTCCCTTAGCCTGATAGCTGTCACGGCGACATCTATAGGTGACTTGTGAAACGGCCAAAATCATGAAAGAAGTCTTCTGTAAACCCAATCATTCAAATCTCATATACACTATATTGCCAAAAGTATTGATCGGCCTGCCTTTACACACACATGAACTGATTA